CACAGGTATCCTCAGCAGCCCTGAGGCAATGTTTACCTGGACCAAAGGCCTTTATTATGACTTTCATTTGCATTATGCCACGCCATAAAGAAAAGAGATAAATTTGTTTACATGGAAACACCAAAGTCCTCTGGGAAATTAGGGGATTATTCCCGCAGAGAGGCTTTAAATGAACTAAACACATAAATGACTTTATGTGTTTAGTTCCAGGCTGCAAAAAAATGCCACTGGGATGTAGAATTACAGATTATATGTGATATGATCACTGAAAAAAAAAAAATATAGTAGCGTAAGTTTTAGGGAAGCTGCCTCTGATGGAACCATTAGACGTCTGTAATGATGTGTTTTAAACATAGGAGACCAAAGAAGAAATGTTTGATCATTTAACACGGCTCCATGTTAGGAGGAAACATTAGTTTTAATGAAATAAACCCTCACCTGCCGTCTGCTGCAGCTCCAGCAGGGCTTTGATGGTTGAGGTGGCGGATTGGGAATCTGAACCGGACGCCTCTGGGTTGATAATGGCAGGAAAAGACTCCATAGCTACTTCCTGCTCGGTCCAATCCTGCTCTCTGGAGGACACCATGTGCACTACAGGCTGCGGATCTGAGGAATGTCGCATTAATCAGCGTTTGGGGAAACCCCAAAGGACAATGGGTTTAAAAATCAAAGCCTGGGTGGGGGACGTTTGTAAAGTAAGGGAATAAACCGTACCTTGAGCGCTGCTCTGGGAGGCATCGCTGCTAACGCTGGGGGCCTCCCCCAGACTCCCGGTGTCCTCCTTCCCGGAGCTGTCGTGGACCGAGGTCTGAGCCTGACTGACCTCTGCAGCTCGGGTCACCTGCTGCAGCGTCTCAGTGACCAGCTGCCGGGTCTGTTCACTGACCACCGCCGTCTGAAACACTGGCTTCGGCTTAATGAGGACCTGGAAGGAAAGAAAGCATTCAGCAGAGCTCCTCACAGAGAACCAACAACCAACTGAGAACAGATGGACCAATCAGTTGTTCCTTACTTGGTTCTCATCGTGCCAAATAGGAAAAAACAAAAATTATTTTCCTGTTTTCATTATTTACTGAGTCTATAGAAATCTCAACCAGCAAATGGTATACACTTCATGCTTTTTGCTTTAAAAATAATCTTATATTATAATGAAAATGCGCCTGATTCCTCTCTTCATTTTGTCCAACATTTTAAACCAGTAGCTCTATGAAGGAACCTGCTGCACATTGTTTTAGTCTTTAGTTCTGAAATTACCAAATCATACATTAAAGAGAAAACTGGAAAAGCCTCATTAGTTTGCTTCAGATTAAAACCTGTTTTAGTTAGGGAATAAATAAATAAAAAATATATATATTTTTAACATTAGCAGTATTTGACCCCAAAACCAGTTTAGAAGTATGTTCTATATATCCAATATCCAATCCACTAAATGTCAAGAGCAAAAGGCATGTTAAAAAGTCCCACAGCATAATGCTGCCTACTCCGTGCTTGACAGTTGTAATAGTGTGCTGTGGTCAGAAAGCCTTCCCTTTGCTCCTTCTAACATCGTTCTTCCCATCATATCAACCTCTGGTGTTTCCATACGGACAGATGAGAATAACTGCGCTCTCTTTCATGCTTGTCGCTCTCTTAGCTAATGGAGATGTAAAGCTGGGTTCCCTGTGGACAGAGACACCAGATCATGGTAGGTTTAAACCTTCTGATCATTCTAAACCAAGGAACCTCAAGGCCAAGGACCCCCAAACTGATGCGAGATGGAGCGGGGACCCCCTGATTATATATATTG